ATGCTCTGTCTCTCTCTGTCCCAAAAATAAATAAACGTTGAAAAAAAAAAATAAGACCTCACCAGCCTCGTTTAAGACAGAAAGTGACTGAACCTATTAATTAATTCTGGTTATGAAATACAGGCGCACTAGATATTTCACAGCCAAATCTGTTATAGGCAGCCCTGATTTACACACATGCACTTAATAATGAACCACATTTGGGGAGAGAAGAGGAGAAAGGAGAGAAAGTAAATAGTGAGAAACTGAAGCCATCTTTCTGAAACAGTTATCACCAAAGGAACGAATAACCTAGAAATGTGTCTTTATAATGGGGAGAGGATAGCTATCTACAAATGTACGGTTAATAAATTACTGGTTCCCAGCTTAACCCAGTGACGTCTTCTGAGAAGACTCTTAACCCAGCTAAGTAAAGATAACCTATTTCTTTCAAACTAATTTGGGATATATTTTCATTTCTCACACAAGCAAAAAAAATATTAGCTTAATAAAATGAAACTAAACTGTACAGTTAAAACTTAAGGTACATTTGGGGTTAAAAAGATTTGTGAGCTGGCCTGGGAACACAGCCAATACTTTTTTATACTGTTTCAGTAAGAGGGAAAAAAAAAAAAAATGTGTTCTGAGTTCCAAACAGCTGCCTTACACATAAACTTTGGAAACACAATTGGCTCATGTGCTGGAAACTATCTGCATATAGGTTAGGTTTCATGGGATTCAATTTGGCCCATGGCATTTCTGAGTATGTTTAAGAATAAGTCACTTTGTATTAGGCCTCTTCCACTCAGATAGTGCAATTTCAAAGACCTCCAGCTTGTCCAGAGCTGAATTAGCTTGCTTAACATTTTAAAAATCTATAGCAAAGCCAAAAGAAGGGCTTCAAGCTACCAAGCTACTTTTTTTTTCTTCTATGAATCAACTAAACTTCCTTTATCACAGTGATTCACATCAATTTAGGGACTGAAGTACGATGTCACTACTTATTTGATTTAGAGACCACAGCAATTTATATACCCAGCGGAATTTAAACAGTGCAACATAGTATTTGCTTTCCAAATTAAAAGAAGTAAGAATTAATGTTTGAGACTAGCTAAAATTACCTGGAAAACTTTCTGAGGGTCCTGAAAAATATGGATCAAGAACTATTTGTAAATAGGGATATCTCAGATACTATCAACCCAACAACAACGCCAATGCCTATATTGAAACAGGTAAGCAGGTAGAGGGTATACAGTCACTGCCATATCACCACAGAACTATAATTATTAACAGTGTTTTATTTATTTATGAATTATTTTAATGTGCCTCAACTGAATAGCTAAGATAAGCTGGTTGAAAATACTGTTAGCTATGTCAAGGACCAGCATGACTCTACCAAAGACATTTATGTCTATTCCCCAGAACCTGAGAAAACAAAACAAGAAATGTCAGTGTACTTTTAGAAGAAAAACAAGGATGAAGTTGTGTTAAAATGACTTAACTAAGGATGATCCATCAGTGCCCTGGTGTTTCTAGGGTAAATTCATCAGGAAAAAAAGGTCAAAACCTTCTCCAGCACCCTTCCTCTGGATACATCATCCACTCTCACAGCCAGACAATCCACTCTATGCAATGCAAGGAACTATTTTTATAGGACAGCTCTTTCCACACAGATGTCCTGCCATCAAACTCACTGTAGAATATAAATATCACACTCAATTTGTCAACAACCAAGCCCACCATCTGCCTCAGAATTACTCCCCTAATTTCCATTCTTTATGATTACCCCGGTATCTCAAACTAGAAACTTTTGTTTACCATTTACATCAGAATTACCTACAGTACCTTTAAAAAATGCAGATTTCCAGGGCGCCTGGGTGGCTCAATGACTGAGCATCTGACTTTGGTTCAGGCCATGATCTTGTGGTTCTTGAGTTCGAGCCCCGTGTCAGGCTCTGTGTTGACAGCTCAGAACCTGGAGCCTGCTTTGGATTCTGTGTCTCCCTCTCTTCTGCCCCTCCCCAACTTGCGTGCACGTGTGTGTGTGTGTGTGTGCGTGTGCGTGCGCGCACGCTCCCTCTCTCTCTCTCAAAAGTAAATAAACATTAAAAAATTTTTTAATAAAAATTTTTTAAAATGCAGATGCCCACCCTCCACCCATCCTTCCAAAATCAGAACCTTAAAAAGTGTTATCGGGGACTTTTTAACAAGCTCCTCAGGTGATTCTTAAGCACATTCAAATTTGAGAACCTCTAGGGTTGATTCATCCTTTAACTCATTCAGTTCATCTAATATCACATCCTTTCTCTTGCAAATCCTATTACTGTCAGAGTCTAAGAACCTGAAACTACAATCCATTTCTTAAATGGTGCCAACAATTGCTCAAATTGAAATTTCTAAAACACCATTTTTTGTTTTCCCTTCTCTATGACTTGTCTTGACTTACACACCACAATTAAAACTCATCTTCCTAATGTTTGAGACCTCTTATAATCTGATGGATCCCAAGGTCTCTCTCTTATCCCCCATGAACTCTCTACTCCCATCACAAACACTGATTCAAAATGATAATTCCTACTTCCATGACTGTACTCATCTTAGTCTGACATACTCCACCACGGACAACTGAATTCCCCCCAAATCTATAATATCCACTCCTCTCTTATCAATGTATCCCTCAAAGGAAGGCTCACGTCCCAAACACCCTCCTGGCTCTCAACACGTCACATTACTGCGATTGTTTTCAGATTTTCTCTTGGCCTTCTATTTGCTCTACATCCTCTAAACAACAATCTTACTAAAAGCACTTTTTAAAAATCCCTCCCTTTCTCAACAAAAGGCAATAGTGGTCCTTATTACCCCTTCAATTATGTCCACATCCCAGGGCTAGCATAAAAGGCCCCATCAACTACACTAGATCACATAACTCCAGCTCTCCCTGAAACATGACTTTATTCAAGCTACTCTTCTTATCTAGGAAGGTCTTGTCCTCCCACTCTACCAATCCAAAATCCCATAGTTCTTTCAATACACAGGATAAGACTCCGCATCATTAGTTAAATAAACAGGTTGGCCCTTTTAACTATAGGCATTTCAATCTAAGGCACAAAATAACTGGTTATAACAATAATAACCAAAATACACAAACACATATATTACTTTTATGATGCAAGTGGATATATTTTTCACTTTGTTTTGTGAAGTTTCCTTGTTTTCACAGTTTTTAAGTAAACGGACAAAAATCTCATAGGGCAAAAAACTGAAGAAATTGAAATCTCACCAGTGTTTTAAATAACTGAAACATTGAGGAAATGTAGTAATTTCTACTTCTTTTTTTTTTTTAATTGCTCTGTCCAGGAAATAATCATTTTTTTTGCCATTAAAAATCTAAATACTTCATTGGTTTTTATATACTATAATGGATTGGAAAGAGCATGCGACTTGGAATCAAAGTGTGTATTAAATTCAGAATGGAACAACTTTTGGGCAAGTCCCTCCATCCAAGATTCAATCTTCCTGCTGGTAACATTGTAGCTACCTGATCCCTTGACATGGTGACACTGAACATTCAGATCATCAAAAGCCTACAGTATTTCAGGCACTCTGAACCTATCCCCGGATTAATCTTCCTCAGGGCCAGGCCAGGACACCCCTACTGCAATCTATTTAACTGGCCATTCCTTTTCTTCCTGCTCAGAAAAACCAGTTCCTGAGAAGAAAAACCAAATCCAGGAAACACAGCTGGAACAAGTTAGTATCCTAGCCACTCTGGTAATGCTAGAAAAATCATAGATCTATTATTCATGGGATAATGCCCAGCTACTTGTGACAAATTGAAGGTTGAGAAAATATTTGCACAAAGAGCCATCATACGAGCTGACTTAGGGCCAAGGTGGAGGTCACTGCCAGAGAATGACCAGCCTGTCACATTAGTAGCAAAAAAAAAAAAAAAAAAAAGTCCTAACAGCATAAGTTAAGAATGCATTGCTTCAACTACAAAAGGTTATGTCCCTTCTCTCTGTTCTATGTTTGATTTGCATCGATGTCATAAATCATGAAAGCTAAGGTCAGTATGAATCTTACCCACTTACAGATCTGGAACTAAAACGCAGAAGAGACAAACTGCCTAATTATAATAACAAGACCTTGAAATAATATGTACAAAAACAAGGACATATGAAAATACAGACAACTACATTTATGAATTAAAATTAAATGTTGTCTTCATGTCCCAGAGTCACCTTCTATGTATGCCTCTATCATTGGCCTGGGCAGAAATCTCTCTGTACTTTTATTTTAAATCAATTCACTATGAGACTACAAACTAGGTAATAAACTATAGATCCGTATGTAAGAAAATAACATAAGTGGAGTTTTTAAAAATGGAAGACTTCTTTCAAGGCAGATCTTTAAACCAAGCTTAAAAGGAAATGATGGTTATAAAAGACAAGAAAGAAACTAAGAGGAGAAGAAAGAATTCTTATATCCTGACCAATTTCAAAAACCCGGATATTTCAATTTATGGACAAAGACTGTTGTATTTTCCTTTTTACCAGCACTAAATAAGATTTTTATACTTCAACTAGATTATTGCTTCTACAAGTTAGAATAACTCTCAGATCACCTTTTTTGGTTGTTGTTTTGTTTCTCCAGTGACCAGCAATCACTTGCAAATACTCCTATGGGAATATCACCATGATTACTACAGATTACCACAAATGAAAGATTCCAAAGTTACATACACTTCCCCTGCTTATAAAGGATGAACAGAAAACTGTGCATTCTGAGGCGCCTGGGTGGCTCAGTTGGTTAAGCGTTCGACTTCGGCTCAGGTCATGATCTCACGGTCCGGGAGTTTGAGCCCTGCGTCGGGCTCTGTGCTGACAGCTCAGAGCCTGGAGCCTGCTTCAGATTCTGTGTCTCCCTCTCTCTCTTCCCCTCCCCCATTCATGCTCTGTCTCTCTCTGTCTCAAAAATAAATAAACATTAAAAAAATTTAAAAAAAAGAAAACTGTGCATTCTCACAGCAAAAGCAAAAATCAACAAGTGGGACTACATCAAACTAAAAAGCTTTTGCACAGCAAAGGAAACAATCAACAAAATGATAAGGCAATCTACAGAATGGGAGAAAATATTTGCAAATCATATTCTGATAAGTGTTAACATCCAAAATATATAAATAACTTATACAATTCCATAACAAAAAAAAATTCCATTTTAAAATGGACACAGAATTTGAATAGACATTTCTCCAAAGAAGACCTACCAATGGCCAACAGATACAGGAAAAGGTGCTTAACATCACTAATCATCAGAGAAATGCAAATCAAAACCACAATGAAAGTACTACGTCATGTCTGTCAGACTGACTATCATCAAAAAGGCAGGAGATCCCAAGAGTTGGCAAGGATGTGGAAAAAAGGAACCCTTGTACACTGCTAGGAATGTAAACTGGTGCAGCCATATGAAAAACAACATGGAGGTTCCTCAAAAAAAAATTAAAAATAGAACTACCATATGATCCAGTAGCTCCACTTCTGGGTAAATATCCAAAGGAAATAAAAACAGGATCTGGAAGAAGTATCTCCACTCCCGTGTGTATCGCAGCATTATTCACAACAGCCAGGGTATAAAAACAACCTAACCACCTAACCGTCCATCAGTGGATGAATGGATAAAACTGTGACACACACACACACACACACACACACACACACACACACACACACACACACCATGGAATATTATTCACCATGAGAAAGAAGGAAATCCTGCCATTTATGACAACATGGATGGACCATGAAGACAGTATAAGTAAGGTAAGTCAGGCAGAGAGAGAAAAATACTATATGATATCACTTACATTTGGAAACAAAAAAAAAAGTCAAACTCAAAGAAACAGAGTGCAGAATGGTGGTTACCAAAAGGTATGGGTCAAAAGGTACAAACTTCCAGTAAAATGAATAAGTTCTGGAGATCTAATACATTGTGATTACAGTTAACAATCCTGTATTAGATTCCTCAAAGTTGCTAAGAGACTAGATCTTAAATATGCTAACAAAAAGAAATGATAATTATGGGACCCGATAAATGTGTTAGCTAATGCCACAGTGGTAACCATACTGCAATGGATAAATGTATCAAATCAAAACATGGCACACCTTAACGTGACACAATGTTATATGCCAATTATATCTCAAATAAAAAAGAAAGAAAAAGGTGAGGCCAAGACCCTCAAAAGTAACCAAAAACAAAAACAAAAACATAACAAAAAAACCTGCATCTCCTGGCATGTCTCCTGGAGGAAAGTTGCCCTCCACACACTTGGTGCTCAGCCAGTGCATCATAGTCTGATGGGAATTGTGGTCAAGATTCAAGCTCATAACCCCCCTTCCAGCCATACCCAGGCTGAAGCTGGCCATGACTATGCAGTACAGAGATCTGCATCTCTACCCCCAAAGAACTCCATTCTGAGACTTTCTCATCAAGAGACCCTCAGCCTAGACCATTCCCAGGCATTTCCTTGTGAGGAGGTATTTAAGTGCCCAAAACTTAAATGATTATTAAACAAATAAAATAAATTTAAAAAATTAAGTTTAATTTCTTCTTGAAAAAAAACTGAATTTGGGGCGCCTGGGTGGCGCAGTCGGTTAAGCGTCCGACTTCAACCAGGTCACGATCTCACGGTCCGTGAGTTCGAGCCCCGCATCGGGCTCTGGGCTGATGGCTCAGAGCCTGGAGCCTGTTTCCGATTCTGTGTCTCCCTCTCTCTCTGCCCCTCGCCCGTTCATGCTCTGTCTCTCTCTGTCCCAAAAATAAATAAACGTTGGAAAAAAAAAAAAACTGAATTTGCTCATGCTGATCCCAAATACTTTTTAAAGTGACTAGTTCAAGTAAGAGTTTGAGTAAGAGTTAAGAGTTATTTTTAAGCTTAATCAGCTTGTTTTACATTCTTCTGCAATGAGAAAAACAACTAGGAAGTCTGACAGTGAACAGTAAAGAAAAAAAAATGTTAGTCTTTTCTTGCTCAGTCAACTTTAACAATCCATTTAGCCAAAATTTTAAACATAAAATGATTACCAAGTAGCTTTGATTATAAAGTGTCATCTACCCATTAATCTAGTTGGCTGGCTTCCAGAGGGTTGCTTAAGCATGTCATTTTCACCATGAGATTTTCCCAGACCTCCCTTTCACCCACACCCTGGCCCAAAATGGGTGAGGTGCCACCCCTCAGTGGTCCACCAGCATTCAGCGATTACCACCCTCTGGGCATGCACAACTCTGGCTTCTATCTGTTAACTTACGATTCTGCTTTTTTCCCCTTCTCCCTACCTTCCTACTAGTCTCCGAGCTCCTCTGAAGATGCACTATCCCCAAATCTTTGCACAAATCTGCCACAGATTAGATACGCAGCAAACATTTGCTGAATGAGAACACACACACACACACGCACACACACACACACACACACACACACACCCCTTAGAGTTTAAATGGACAGAGATCGTCCAGTCTAAATCTCACTTGCCATGTAAGAAATCAGAGATATAAAAGGTTTAAATGCTAGAGCCAGGATTAAAAAACCCATTTCCACTACACTTCTAGGCATACATCCAAAAGAAATGAAAACCTATGTCCCTACAAAAATTTATACATAAAGATTCATAGCAGCATTATTCATAATACCCAAGAAGCTAAAACAATGGCCATCAACTAATGAATGGATAAGTATATATGGTATTTCCGCAGAAGGGAATATTGTTTAGCCATAGAAAGGAATAAAGTATTGATACATACTACAACATGGATAAACCTTGAAAACATTTTAGTATGTGAAAGAAGCCAGACACAAAAGACCACATTCCTTACAACTGTTTATATAATATGTGCAGAGCAGGAAGACTGAGACACAGAAAGTAGATTAGAAGTTGCCTAGGATGGGGTGATAGGGACAAGGGGAGTCACTTGGTATAGCATTCCTTTTAGGAGTGATGAAAATTTCGAAAATTGCTTGTGGTGATGGTTGAGTAATTCTGTGAACATACTAGAAACAATTTCATGGTATGTGAATTGTATCTCAATGAAATTATTACAAAAATAGTAATTATAGTTGGAAACTGATTTATCTGGCATAACAGAATTTTGAAATTCTCATCCACAAACTTTCATTCCATGCTTCCCTAATGCAGAGTAAGTGTTGCTTAATTGATAAAAATCTAAAATTCATTTCAAATGCCTAAAATGTCATATTTACATCACACATGCACAAAAACACTATATTTAAAGATGTTTTATATTAAAGATATTTTATTTTCATATTTAGAGAGTTGGCTGTCCATGTAAAGGCTATGTGTGTCTATAAACCTGGATGCTTGATTCCTCAAGGATCTTGAATAGAGATGTTTGCTATATTTAAAAGATTTTTATTTGGAATGTTAAATGATATGACTTCATATATTCAAAAGTAAACTGTTGCAGTAAGAAACCATACATGAAGAGGAAGCAAATCCAGGAAAGAAAATTTCTTTCTCTAAGAGGTACTATGTATTATCCCATTATTCTGTGGCAAGTCTTCGGCCTCCATGGAAATTCACAGACACAGAAATTCAAAGGAACGGTGTTAATATGCTAGACTGACTCCGGTGGGAATATACTCAGTCCCTTCATACTCAAGCCAATGACAGTGTAATTAGTCAGAGTCCCAAGAACAAGTCTAAAATTAAGGTGGATTTCATTGCACTGACGGTATATTTATTTTTCAGAATCCACATGCATAATCTCAATGTATTTTTTTAAATGTTTATTTATTTTGAGAGAGAGAGAGAGAGAGCACATGTGTGTGTGTGCGTTGGGGAGGGCAGAGAGAGAAAGAGAGACAGACTACCAAGCATACTCCATGCTGTCAGCCCAGAGCCCAACGCAGGGCTCAATCCTACGAACCATGAGATCAGGACCTAAGCCAAAGTCGAGGGTAGGACGCTTAACCAACTCAGTCACCCAGGCGCCCCTCAATGTATTTTTTTAATGCAAGACGATTTTGCTAGCTATTTATCTGAATCTCCAACTTGAGAGTTTTTTTTTTTTAACTTGAATACTATATGCTTATAGATAGAACTCTAGATTTTCTCCTTGTATGGAATGACCTCTATGTTTCTTCAAACAGAAAAGTGAAGTTTTCTTATGACGAAGAGGTTAAAGAAATCCAATTTCGGGGCCTATGTCATAAACCCCAACATAAGGGAAAACTCTTTTTGAATGTTTGTAAAACTATTGAGTGGATTTTTTTTTGAAACCTACTAGTTTCAACTGACAACCCAATATAATAATATCAAACAATCCTGCTTTATCATGAATTTCTTTAAAAACCTAAGAACAGCTAAGCCACTAGAACTGACAGTTCTAGTGTCAGTTGATGAAATTAACTGATGAAATTAATTAATAACATATCTGAGTGGTAGCACATTTTTGTGACTTATAAATTTTAGGAACAATAAATCACACAGAAATACAGCATGGACTTATGTAAGATGAGCTGGATATAAATGAGTACTTTTTTTTTTTAACATTTTTATTTATTATTGAGAGACAGAGAGACACAGAGCATGAGCAGGGGAGGGGCCGAGAGATGGAGAGACACAGAATCTGAAGCAAGCTACAGGCTCCGAGCTGTCAGCACAGAGCCCAAAGCAGAGCTCGAAACCCATAAACTGCGAGATCACGACCCAAGCTGAAGTCGGACGCCAACCGACTGAGCCACCCAGGCGCCCCTAAATGAGTATTCTTTAAACACCCATTCTATACAAAGGATGGATACTCAGGTGGACTGTAAGAAAAAGCCGGAGGAGGATTCTAGGGGAATGAGTACTGACACTCCCGATAGTTGATTAGATTTCAGTTAAGAGGAGGGGATTCGTTGAGCTGCAATGAATCCCAGGAAATCCATTTGAATCTAAAGTTGTTAAGTTTGCATCCTAAAACACACTGAAGATTCAAAAGATAGATTCAATGTATCTATCACAAGATGCATATTAGGCACACATGGAACATTCAGGTATTTCTGTAACAACCAACGAAATTCATAAATTGAGGCAAAATGAGCATTCTCTGACATGCGGATCCTTGGGATCAGCCCAAATACATGGGTTGAACCAACAAAAATTTGTTCTAGGAGATGTGCTCAAATCACAAGTAAAACAAGAGTGTGTTACAGGGCTAAGGCAAGCATTTTCCAAATACTTCAACTCAAACTTTAAATAGTAATTTGCTGCCTAAGAAACCATTTACATCCAAATTTGGCCCTATTTGCTACCACAGTGGGTAAAATATTTCTAAGTAGTTTCTGCAAAGGGGGCACCAGTTGTTTCTAAAATAAACCTTAACTCCTTAGATGCTCAAATGTCCCATGGATAACCAGCTGGAACTCCTAAACCTAATTTTCTATGAATAAGGAACCTCATAGTCTTCTGTTTTGTTTAAAAGATTATAGTTTTTCTACTCTCAATTAGCCTGAGGTAAGGACTCAGGTTATTCATTTTTTAAATTTACTCATTAAAAAAATAATAATAACCTGTCCTACCCAACCCACTGGGTAATCAGAATAATACACTAATATTACTAGTCATGATACCATTTTGAAAAGCATAACACTTGATAGAGCCACAAGATAACCCAGTTATATGAAAAACAAGCCACCCCTCATAAGGCTCAAGTTTCCCTTTTAGGTGTAGAGGAGAAAAAAACTTTTCTTCTACTCTCGTAGGTTCAGTAATGATTAGCCTGCAAATTAAATTAACAAAAGAGATTAACAGGAGACAAGGCATCCAATTTTTATTAATATCTTAGGTGCATGGGAGGTCACAGAAAAGAAGTA